ACATTCAAATTAATGTTTTATTGTGAATTTTGAGATTTATTGTGAATATACGAATTACTAACAGAGGCTTGGGCTCAGCTGTTAAACTGTCAAACTGAGATTTGAATCCATGGCGGAAGGAAGTAGTTCTGCAAGCAAAATGTTTTTAAGACACTCCGTGGTTGTTTATAATTTATTTACACACTTGTGCCATCAAACTGTTGTATAAACGCAATATCACACCCGTAAACATGACACAGCTGATCATGCATATCTATACCATGCTGAAATAGAGCGATATCACATGGGAACTCACGTGATACTGCTCATATATAGCTAGTTTCTGAGGCAACATTTCTCATTTTCATTTAGTTTAGATGAATGAAAATATACTTTTCATTTCAGTAGCCTAATAAAAGCTGTTTTTATTTTCAACACAGTCACACAAAAGTTTTGTGAAAAAAACATAGTCATTAATTTTGAATAATTATGCCTCTTTATTCCCTGGAGTGTATAATACATATATTTTTAAACTAATTAGACATGACCTATTTTTCTAAATGTCAAAACAATGAACACAGCCATCATGGTAGTTTTGAAACATATTATAAAAATAAAAGAAATATTTGAAAAACCATGCACATGAGATTGCAGTGATTTCAGTAGCCTAAAAAAAGCTAAAAGTTTAATTTCACATGGGGCAGGTCACCTCACGGAAGCAGCCATGTTGGATCACATGACCATCTGAATACATTTTTGCTTTTTGCCTGTTTTAACTGAAATGAATTATTTTGGACAGTGGATTCTGTTTATTCCCCGTTTTAAAAAAATCCATATTTTAAACATGGTCTCAGACTTTTGGACCCGCTGTATGTAGAAAGTCTGAATATCAGAAGCGTGGAATTTTTGGTGGAAGACAAACAGTCCTGGGCTGTTTTTACCTAACCGGGACAAAAGAAAAAGAATGGTGATGACATCACCAGTTTGGTGGTGCGGATGTTGAAGTGCCAGTATGTTAAAACACAGCTTGATTACTCCCAGACGCAGAGCTGACCGTAGACCACCTGATTAGAACCAGCGACCCGCTGGCATGCACAATAAGAGCTAATCAGAGAAGTTTAAAGAAACTAAAAGGCAACACATGAGCGCATATGTAGGTCAGGACCAGTGAGCCTCTCTATGTGTGTATGAGACCCGTAGGCCGAGAGAGACACGTCAGAGAGAGATGATAACCTCATGTTTTGCCATGATAAAATACTGACCCTGAGTCACTGGTCACAATGGGCCCTATAATCAAGTATTATAATGTGAATTGAACTGCTCGCACCCACAGAATACTGACCTGGAATTTAAATCAGAATGACATGGAAAAATAATTTTAAAGAAATTCAACACAGTCAACGTTTTGTGACCAAATATAAATACTCAATAATTTTGAATTATGCCTATATATATATATATATATATATATAGACATGGCCTATTTTTCTAAATGTCAAAACAATGAACACAGGTATAAAAAAAATAGCACTTCAACCCAGTATCTTTTAAAAAAATATATTGACATCAAATGTGGGGTAAAAATGTTCTTCCACTATGGTCCATAATTCATTAAATTGAATAAAATCTAGATTTTATCAAATTAAATAGATTTGATGAGTTTTATAAGATTTTATTAAATTAAATATAAAATCTAAGTGGCATTTCAAACACTGATTAACAATTTCATCTGTGGAAATGCACCATAACTTGTGTGCATAATAACAACATGTTTTTGGGTAATTCATATTGAAAAGTGACATGAATTATTTAAAACTGCAAATGAATATCTTGGAATTTCATCCAATTTTAATATAACTGACTAAATTCTGAATTCTAAATTCTGTAATTGCACTGAAATCTAAAAAGGCATTTGCATTTCAATTCTGAATGGCACACAGCACTGTCATAATGGCATCGCAACACAGACAACCTAAATTTAATAAAGAAATACACAACATGCTTTTTTAGCAGACTTTTGAGATGCTCCATAGCCTTTCAGCTGCAGAATTCAACCATCTGTTTTGCGTGATGATCAGCCTGTGTGTTTTGGTGTGTGTGTGTATGTGTGATGTGAGTGTTTGAGAGCGTGCAGGTGATGTGTTCATGATTTGTGTTTCTCATGCATGTGTTTGTGATGTGTTGTTTCTAAGGGAGCGAGAGTTAAAGGCTGGCTTATGACATTGACCAGCAGTGAGAAATGACTGCAGGTATGTGCACTTCAACAGAAGCCAGAACAGTCAACTGCCAGAAAGAAAAAGAGAAAGAAATTGTTAGTCATTTTAAATATATTTAATCTAAAATTTTAAATATAAAAATTAATAAAAAAATATATTTTTATAATCTATCTATCTATCTATCTATCTATGTGTACTGCAACTCAAAAAAATCCACAATAGCATAAAAGTAGTCTAATAAATGAAGTCTGTTGCATATATTTTAAGATTATTAACACATAAATTGTACTTGCATCTGCAATTGATCTAGCACGTTAGCTGAATCTGAATTGAGTCTTGAACAAAGTCAAATGAGCCTGCACTTGAGACAGCACATTCACTACAAAGACAGTTTCCCTGAATGTGTAGGTGGAGGTTTACTTGAGATCCTTATTGGTTACATCACAGCTTGTCTCTGGGGTTCCTGGTAAAACACTCTACGTGTCAGAGATAGCTGGCTTGAGGAATCAGACACATTTATCAAGCCTAAGAAGACAGCTCTGTAGCCGATGGGAGAGACGATCTGCTCTCGGCCACAGCGGTAGCTGCTGTTGACAATGTTGTCACCTTCTGGAAGATGAATAGGTGAAAGGCTTTGAGGGATGAGGGGAGAAGAGACCGGGAACGTTTGAGTCCCAGTGGAATACTTGACAGTCCGTAATCTGCTCTTCACTAGGTCTGGCCGTCACCCTTCATCGTCTCATATGGCGCCTCCTGCCAAACTTTGTGTGAGAGTCTCTGTCTCTCTTTCCTTCCCCCGGCTCTCTTTTCCTTCATCAACACATGACTTTCAGAATGAAACATAACATGAGGATGTAATGCTCCAACAACAGGCTCACGCTGTGGTCAAGTCCTCCTGGGAAGTCATTACAGTATTTCAGCATGATGTGCGTGTAAGTGATATTGTACAAAATAAAATGGGCTGACTGGACAATTTCATTTCCAAAAAAACACAGGATTTTAGCACTAATGAACTAATAGAACTAATGCTACAATTAGCTCATCAGCGCTAACTGATTTACTGTAAACTTCAAGTGGAATCTGAAACACCAATGACCGCGAATGAAGTAAGGTTGTATTCCACTCATATTTCTCAATAAATCCTGAGTTGCGATGATGAAGGAAGATGATGATGAAAGATGGTGGAATTTTGCAAAGTTTTCAGTCCTATATTTCAATCATTTTAATTAGTTAAAATACTTAATTATTTCATAGATACCACACATCAATCAATCATATAAGTTGTTTAAAACTAATCAAGGTGTATTTGTTAATCGACTACCAGAATTCCCAAATTTTTTGTCAGCCCCTTTGACATAAAATATTTATTATTTTAAAGCAATTTTTCAATAATTAAAAAAACATTCACAGATCCAGGGTTATTATAGTTAACTAAAAATTAATTATAATATATATATATATATATAATTTCTAAAACTTTACAATTAAAATAAAATCAAAATAGTATCTCAATTATAATAAAATAATACTGCACAGTTTTCTGATGTTGTTAATGGTCACATCACATGCAGGTAAACTTTTCTTTGGTTATTTTTATTTTACAGTTATTCATTTTTTTTTTTTTTTAATTATTGAATTTTTATGATTTAATTAATTACAAGCTTTTCATCAACTCACGAACCCTGGGGGTTTGTGACTCTTCCCTCACAAACCCCCAGAGTTTTGCAGGTTTGGAAAACCCTGCATTAATACAAAAGAAAAAAAAAGAGCATTTGCCATCATTTTGTGACTTTACTTCATTTTGGGTACTTTAATATGTTGTTTCTGACTCAAATTTTTGCCTGGCATTGTAAAAACAGCTGCCCAACTTGGATGTATCCTATAGGAACTTCTCAGGTAGACCTGAAGGCAGCAAACCGATTTTGCCTTCCATGCGCTGCCACTAGACATCATTCGAAATGTAGCTGTGTGACACAAGCCTCCTCAGCTTCAGTTTAACTAAATGCATGGTATTTTCAGTCGAGCCTCGCCGCTGTTCATCAACAACACGCAAAATGCATACAGACTAAATCAACATTCACAACTGCAACTAAATTCTCACCTAGAAACCACTAAAGAAAATGAAGATGACAGACAAGTACGCAGGTGCTCAAAGAAAGCCGTCCATCACAGGCTTATTTCCAGGGAAACACAAAAACCAGTTAGAGGTCACTTGAGGACCCATCAGGCATTAATGGGGCCGTACTTTATTGTGTTTTCGCAGGAAAAGACCCTTCCGTCCAATCAAAGTGTTGAAAAGGTCCTTCAGGATTTGAGTGTGATGGGAATGGCAGGGGCTCTCCAGAGGTCTAAGTAGGATGATGAGCGGGAAAATGCTGTCCTTTCTGCCCACTGTATACCTCACAAGTGCAACCAATTAGAGTAATTGAAAAAAGGGAGACATGTCCAATTAATAGTTGGTTCAGAGGAAGCAGAAATGGTGTAGAGTGGTTTGAGGCAGTTCGAAAGCAGGAAGAAAATTGGCAATTATTTACGTCTCACATGCCAACGCCATTATCTGGCCATTCACTCTCAACAGGGTTTCCTGTAAATAAACAATAGAACGGGCAAAAAGCAAGAGATGGCGGGTGGGCAGTGGAGGGCAAAACAGGACCACTAGGAGAAAAAGGTACTCGTGATGGGAGGCATTGAACCAGAACTTTGCATAATACCCCTTTAGGCAAAAGCGGCAAGCTGACAGGGGCATCTGAACTGCGGACATGCCTAACTAGCCAATGGAGCCATTAGCAAGGCCTGGTGCGGAGTTTTGCCTTCACGTGTCAAATCATGCATGCTCACTCATCTTTTTCTCACCAGACAGCACATCAAAACCTTTCCCGTTCCATTCTCTCAACGCCGCACACAGCAATTTATATTGATCACTCTGACAGTGTGATCATTCAACGGTGTGGCAAGATTTGGGCGGCACTTACCGCTTCCAGGATATGGCAGGAGATGTGCCATAGAGTAGTTTGCACGGTGGGGGGAAAGCATCTCCACTACATTTGGCCATTTTTTATCTGTGTGTTTTTGTGCGTATTATGGGGATGGAGGGAATTAGCATATAAACTATTCACTCGCTTGGTGATTTCTGCTTTGGTGCAGTCAGCCAGAGTGCTTTGAACTTTAAAAACCTTACAAAGTCAATTTGAAATTGTCCGGAGTTAACTTTTTTGTTTGGGTGAATTAATTCTTGTAGGCCCAACGCATATATAAACACGGCAGCCATTAGCAAACATTGATCTTCCGCTGTTATATACTCATTTTCGGACAACTTGCTTTAATAATTGTACAGATGCAAACTGCAGCGTTATATGCACAAGGTCCACTTAATGAAGACCCTAGGCACCGCAGTAAACAAGTAAAGGGCAGTTGGAGTCACAAGTATTGATGAGTGATGGAGAAAAATCTACAGAAAAGTTACAAAGTTTAGAATGCAGATATATGTGCCTCATGAGAGTTAGAGTTTAAACAGGCAAGGATTCCGATTGTAAATGCCATGTGACTAATATGAAGTGACAGGCCTCATGGTGACTGACTGATGGCACCACAACAAGCACTCAAGCCCTTTATTAGTGACTATCCTGAACTGTGACATGGAATGCAACAGACAGTGAAAGATCTGTCTAAAAAAAACAGTCACTGGCCAAACATCTATAACATAAAACTTTGCTATTTTGCTTTTTTTATTATTATCAATTTAGACAACAAATGGAGAAAGACATTCAATAATAATTTGCTGACAAACTGTACTTTCACTTTTCAGTCATGAAAAAGATTTCAAATAGTCAAGAAACTCTAAGTGAAGGGTATAATTTTATGATATAACCATTTTAAAATACAAAATAGAATAATTTGAACCATTAGAATAGTTTGAACATTGCTTTGCACATTTAATTTTAGATTTTTTAAAATAAAAAATGGCAACAGTTGAAACTGTTTGGTATTATTTAGGTCAGTTGATTGAATGTGTTAATTTGGTGCAATTAATTATGAAAAAATAACTATTATTAATGTAGGGTGACCATACGTGCCATTTTCCCAGGACGCGTCCTGGGAAAATGGCACGTATGGTCACCCTAATTAATGTAAAAAAGCGTAATGGCTAATGCTAACGCTGCCGCTTTAGCGGTATGCAGGGAAGGAGACCAGAGGCCGATTGATTCGATTGATTCGATGAATTAATCAGCACATCACGTAATTAATTAGATTAAAATATTAATTGCTTGACAGCCCTAGTATTGTTATTTTTGATTATGATTCCTGTAAGTGAACTCTGGTTTGGTTGAGTGAATTCCATGTTTGAAAGATTCTCTTGATAGTTTTACTAACTCTCTAGTTAGGTTTCCCAAGCGTACACAAACATTTTCTGTCAGACTACCGAGAGCTAGAAGTGTTACCCGTGATTGACCTTGGTTTGACCTCAGCGCTCTGAAGGTGGCAATTACTCAACACCTAATTCTGTGACAAATGTTTTAAAGATCTGGATTGAGATGAGATTTTGAGCGATCAGTTTGTTCTTATCTTCAGCAGCTAATGACATTCTGAAGATCATCATCATTTCCTCTGCAAAGCCTCGGTCTTCCCGAGAGGCAGCGTTAAATGAACCTCGCTCAGGCCAAATCAGCTTAACTTCCTCTCAGCATGATAACAATACCGTCTCTTGCCCCCAGGACGATTCTCTCGGTGGGTGAGTGATGACAAACGCCCCCATCTCTATCACCCACCGCATCAGTCCCAATCTTCCAGATAAACGAGGGTAACCAGAACGACGACTTGTATATCTCCATAAAAATAATAGTAGATGAAGAAGCCATTTTCTTCATTTGGCTCCAGTGGTGCGGATGCTTGCCAAGCTACAAGCTCATAATTGGTTTAAAACTACAGTTAAACTAGTCTTTTGAAAAAGTAGTTAGCCCAAGGAGGTCTGCAGTACCTCGAGAGAGTAACACAAAATAGCTAACATTAGCTAGCACATAAACTAAATTTACTCAAGAGGAAATTTTCAGTATTAAACTTGAACATTATACACTAACTAAACTCTAATTTTCCAAATAATATTAGCATTTAGCTTAAAAATCGGCTTATTAATTAATTTAAATATATATTTTTACCAACATATTTTTGGGGCCATTTTTTGAATATATTTTTGAAAATATATTTTAAAATACATAAAAGCATTTAAAAATATAATCTGGCTTCTATATATTTCAATCCAAGAAAATAAATTCAAATATTTCACATTTGAAGAAAAACCTTACTTGTTGTCTACATGAGTGAACATATAACAAATAAAATTAATAAAAATCTGAATTTAAATCGGATTTTAAATACAAATAAGAAAGCAACAAACTTTACAATTTAAAAATATACATTAATATATTAAAACAACATTATTAAATCATTATAAATCTAATTTTGATCTCTAAAAGGTTATTCCATCCACATCTGCATTTTGACTAGGCTACTGTAAGGCTACTGTGATGATACTTTCCAAACCTACATAGGACTATTAAAAATGACAGTTTTCAGAGTCACTAGAATGAATCAGACTTTCCAACTAGAAACATGAGAAAGAGCTACAAGCACAAATAAATTGTGACTTTAAAAACTGTGACTTTGTGGTTGCTACACCGCAGGTTGTTAAAAGCTACACTATTTTGAAAGCAGCTGAGCTACTGTCATGCTACTGAAAAATGTAGTTACTAGTGTCGCTATCCCCAACTCTATTGTTTTACTCTTTATCTTTATTCCCATCCCTCACTTTCTCTCTCCCTCTCTCTGATTGATGGGGATGTGAGCTGTGGTATAAGTTCGGACAAGCTTAAAGATGTCAGTACCAGCAACATTGTGGATAAGCCATAAAACCTTCTCACTGCCTCTTCTGACAGCGTCAGCGAGAAGATGGACTGATGAGGAATGATACCAGGAAGATGGATGCATGGGTAAGGAGAGCAGAAAGATGGATGAATCGGAAAGGTACGAAGAAAGATGGATAGACGTCTCAACTGTCAAACACGTTGCCAGTCATGTGTGAGGGGCATCAGTCTTAACTGAGTCCAAAGCTCCAAATTAAATCAATCGCAGCAGAGCGTGAAGTATCAGTTCCATCTAAAACTGCTTTGTTCGAAATAAAGCAATAGTTCACCTAAAAATGAACATTTTGTCATCATTTACTCACTCTCAAGTTGTTCCAAACCTGCATGAGTTTCTTTTTCTGAGATAAGATATTTTGAAGAATGCTGGTAACCAAGCAGTTGTTGGTCCCCATTGACTTCTATAGTGTGGGGGAAAAAATACTATTGAAGTCAATGGGAAACAGAAACGGCTTGGTTTTCCTGAATGAATGGATGGATGGATGGATAGTCAATCTCACCTGTGTCTTCTCTAGAGTTTCAAATGGGATCTTAACAATGTCTCAGACAAGCCTGTGACCAAAATTCCTCTTCAAATTTTTCCACAATCAAATGATCTGAGCTTCTATCCACACTGACTTTATAGCTCTATACTATTATTTCCCCAAATGGAATCTTTGGAAAAATATCTGCGATAAAATAGACTGTTAAATAAAATATGAGTGAGAAATCTATGAAATAGCAACCTATGAGCAACAGCATTTTCCCATTTTCAGTTTATCACAATACTGCTTCTTCTGTGGTATCATTTCCTGCCCTCTCTGTCCATAATGTTCATTAAAAGGTCAAAAAAAGATATTAAAATTTCTGGCACCTCTAGTGGCACCAAATGGAAATGCAACCTGTTTCTTTCAGTGGCCTGACAAAGCAGTACTGCCTCAATCAAAATGGCACTGCTCCAAATGCAACCCTAAAGATGCATTCACATAAGAGAAATTTCAGTAAAGTTTTGCAGGGTAAAAAGGTTAATTGCCTTTTGCCAATATACCTTAGTCAGGGTAGGACTATATAAATTTTGACAGGAATGAAAACAAAGCTGCGAGGTATAGAAATACAGCACGTTCAATGGATTGTACTGTTGTTTAACAACATACCGATTGTTCAACCGATTAAACGTTTTGATTTCATTTGCATTAAATTACAATGTATGAAGCACAATGTAGCGTAACAATTTATGAACATATATTTCACACCAAGCAGCCTTCTCTTGGTCAGTGCAGCAAATCTGTGAAAGCAACTCGAACCCATTTGCGAAATCTGCAAAATTTGCGAAATCGCTGGATTTCACCTCTGCGTTGGTAAATGTGAACGCATCTAAAGTCCTTACAGTCTTCCGTTGAGATATTTGTTCAGTGACACAAAGCTTTTTATTTATTTATTTATTTTAAAAAATATTTATTTTTTATTTATTTCATTATTTTTTATTATTACATTTTTTATTTTTTATTATTTTATGTTTTAATAATATATTTTATCATTAATTTGTAATTATATATTAGGGGTCAGTGTTGGGGAAAGTTACTTTTTAAGTAATGCACTGCGCTACGTTTGCGTTACTTTTTGTCACCTGAGCTGGGCTTGCTTTTTTTTCTTTTTCTTTGTCTTTCACACCAAAAGTGAACTTAATAAGCCTCAGGCCGAAGGAAATGCCTCTGCACCTCACTGAGGTGTCATTGAATAAATGGGAAAACAAAGCAACCCTTACGAAAAAGAAGTTTATTCAAGTGGGCTATTAGTATACTTCTTTTAAACTAAAAATAGAAAAGTATACTTTTAGTCTACTTTTTATGTACTTCTCAGAAATGGGCTTTATGTACTTCTCAGAAATATATTTAAAATGACATTACTTTTTGGTAAGGGAAGTTGCGTTACTTATTTGAAAAAGTAACTCAGATATTTCATTGTAAATGTAAAAGTAATGCATTACTAGTTACTTGAAAAAAGTAATCTGATTACGTAACTAGTATTACTTGTAATGCATTACCCCCAACACTGTCAATAAATGTCAGATAATTTGATCTTTGAATATTTTGAATACAATTTTCTTTTCTCTTTATCTTGTACACTCTTGATCTACTTTATTCCATTCGAACTGCTTTTATGAACCCAATCCATATAAAATGAAACCCAAGTAACTACAGTACTTGGAATATCCTACAAACATTTTCCATATGAGCTTCTTGCATGACTGGCACACCTCTTAAGTGTTTATCTGTCCCACGAGTCTCACAGGTCAGCCTTTAGTCCTCATTTTCCATGGGCTGGTCCTGCTTCAGTCTGGGTTGTGAGGCCAGCGCCCATCCAGGCCTCTAGGAAAGAGCGACAGTACAGCTGAAGGGAAATTCCAATAGTTTTCCAGCAGGGGCTTTGTATCCCCACTGAGAGTGTTGATGGCTCCGGAGCACAGCGAGGACAGGGGTGGGTATCGATGCAATCACTGAAAACATACGGTGAGCCAACAGGAGAACAGAGCCTGATAAACACCCTATCTGTGCACAAATCAATTAGAAGAAGGCGTCTAAATGACGGCACTGGGGTGCGTTCAAACACACGCACTCAAACACACCCTACAAAGGCATTACAAGAAAAAAATTAATGCATCTTTATTGCTTTATTGCATTTTCAAAACATAGGCGGCAACAGTAGGCATAGCACAGGGCCTCCACCGGCTTATATGAATAACTCAGAGACCACCGACGGCTGCTCCTGATAGCTGGAAAACTCATGATGGCTTTTCAGTGAAAACTCCAGGGCGGGAAGTGATCGCCGCATGCATCTTTGAACTGTTGTCTAACTGCTGGTGGCAGCACAGAGCTGCTGCAGGGCCGACGGCGAGCGAGGCAGAATTGCTTCAGCCTGGTGCCACCATCAGATGCACAGGAAGATGGAGATGTGCAGTTAAGAGCCTCATTTAGTGAGAACACAGATGCTCCACTTGCCTCCCATTGTGAACGTGTGGGATGTTTGAGAGAGATAGAAGGGGAGAGGATTATCATTTTGGGAAGCCACAAGTGATTTTGCACTTTAGGTTGTAACTAACTAAAAGTAGTGGTGCTACTGAATTAACGGCATTTTGTCAGCTTTTCTAACAGCAAGCTACCGTTTCCGATAAATTAGCAGTGAATATGACAAATGCTACAGTTCTGTTTTAATGTTTTAATTGTTGATGTCAACAGGCAATGTCTGACTCTACAGAGGACAAGTGGATGGATGGATGGATGGATGGAGCAATAGTCAGACTGAACTCTCTTAGGTGTTTCCCAAAAGCATCATAGGTCCAAGAAGATTGTAGAAACCAAAGGCACTAATGGTCTCTATGATCTACTTGTAGGCTTACAATTTTGGCGAAACTCAGCTTTGATTAATTCTAGCAAAACTGTTTTTTTTCTGTGGTTCATTTGCATTGATTTAATAATTCATATACCTGCAATTTTATATATATAAAAATCTGTCTATATAAAAAACATCTATCTATCTATCTATACAAATAAAATAATAACATTTCTTAAAATAAATTTTGGTAAGAGCAAGTTTATTCAAATATATTTTATACAATATAAAACTAAGTAAAACGTACTGGAAATATATATTTATGTAAATATACATTTATGTTAAAAAATAGATTTAAATCTATTTTAAATAGATTTAAAATCTATATTAGCAATATATTTTGTGGCCATTTTTAAATTGAAATTTATATTTAATTGAAAATTATATCTGAAAAAAATCATGTGTATATATAAATTGAGTATATACATTTAAAATATATATTTATTTAATATGTAAACTATCTAAAAACGTACATATCTCTCTGTGTGTGTGTGTGTGTGTGTGTGTGTGTGTGTGTGTGTGTCACTGTTTTTCTATAAACTTTTCTCTAGCACTCCCTTGTGCAGATTGAAACCACTCGTTTTGTAAGATGTTTATTATAAATGTGTTTCATTTTGAGAACAGCATGAGAATTAAAGGCTTAAAAGTCATAAAAGTATCAAATTGGTCTCAGATGTTTCTCCTAAAATTCTTTAGGAGAAATAAAAATAGACACTGCTGAGTCAAATTATTTGCATTGTTGTTTATAGCAAAGGAATGTTACACAGTTCTGTGTTTAATAATGTTTTAGAATCGATGGCTGTCTGAATGATGAATTATCAGTGTATACTTGTGCCAGTCTGGGCCTTGCAGGCTTCTGGAGGAGAACTGTATTGCTCAGGAGACATAATAGAGTTCTTAATTATACATACCAACTTCATCTTTGATGTGCTTCCTAAAATCCCACAGGAGAGATAAAGACAGAAATGAGTCAACTGTTAGCATAAAAGTAAGAGAACAGAGCTATAAAATTAATGTACAGTGCTGCTTGAAAGTTTGTGAACCCTTTAGATTTTTCTATATTTCTGCATAAATATGACCCAAAACATAATTAGATTTTCTCACAAATCCTGAAAGTAGACAAAGAGAATCCATCTCTCTCTCTCTTTCTCTCACTCTCTCTCTCTCTCTCTATATATATATATATATATATATATATATATGCAAATATTAATGCTGTCAGTTAATTTTTAGCACATAAATTAAAGATTGATTATGAATTATACGATCAGGTAGCTTGCAGCATTAAGCAGTTCTTTGTATTAATCTTTTGTAGAGCAGCTAAGTTTTAGCTGGTTAGCATGGTTCAGTTTGCCCCTGCTACTATCACCGAGGAATGCTAACGCTAACAAATCCACTCTTCATTTCCTCCTTGGGCAAACTACTTTTTTAAAGGAAAAGATTAACTGCATTAAATTTTAGTAGCTTATATCTTAGCATGCTACATTTTCAAAGAGGTTTCACCAGCGCGAGTAACTTGTGAATTACTGTTTATCTTGTTTTAAGTCTTACTTAGTTGAACAGATTAGATCGAGTTAAATCTAATTGTTTTGAACAGAATGAAGTTGATAAACACAAAAGAAGACAACAAGTGCTTCCACTCACAGCCGACTGATAATGAGCAACTGAGCATTACCTGAGTCGACTGGCTCCGTCATTAAGAGCCTGCTGGGGGAGCTGCCTCTGGACGTCTAATTACACACACAGAATTGTGGTGTCACTCCTAAACTCTGCTGTCATCATCGGACACAGATAGGGTTTGATACCTTTAATTAGTGTGCGCTGCTCCCTACACAGCTCTCGGGTGCTAATCAGAGACAACAGCATGCAGTACATCAACATATGACCCCACTGCGGTCACACTGCGCCCCCGCCGGGCCTCATATGGCAGTGGAGGCGCAGGGGAATAATCTATTAAATACTCGACAGGAAATCGAAAGAGATGAGAGGAGAGATGATGGTTTGAACTGTGACCAGAAGAGCATGAAGGGAAAATGAAGGCCCACAGCTTTCTCTCTCTAGAATGAAGAGATTAGAGATCTTAAAAAGCAGTAGGAGATGAGGGAGATGTTGGAATTGGTGAGAAGTGTGAGGCATCACTCACGAGTGTGTGTGTGTGTGTGTGTGTGTGTGAGTACATACTGCGCAAGTGTGAGTGTGCGGGCACAAACACGGAAGGCCACACTGCAGGTGTGACCAGCAGAAATACTCAACATTTCTTTGGCACCGCTGTGCGTGTTGGAATGAAGAAAAAGTCATTGTAAGTCTCTGTGTGTTTAATAATGAGAGGATATTAAAGGGATCAAGTTGTTCCAAACATGTTTGAGTTTATTTCTTCTGTGAAACACAAAGAACAAAATTGAAAAAAAAAATGTAACTGATATTTTCTGGTCACTAGAAGTCAGTGGGTTCCAAAACAACTTTGAAAGAAACACACACACATTAAGGAATGTATTTTTAAATATCCTCTTTTGTGTTCCAAGAAAAAAAAATAAGTCATACAGATTTGGAACAACATGAGGGTGGGTAAATGATGACAGAATTTTTATAGAAACTATGGCAAACAACAAAAGAGTATTAGTACTATTAATTCAGTTGAGTCTTTAAAGGGGTCATATGATGCTATTTTAAAGATCATTATTTTGTGTATTTGGTGTAACAGAATATGTTGACATGCTTTAATGTTCAAAAAACACATTATTTTTCAAATACTGTACATTATTGTAGGTCCTCTATGCCCCGCCTCTCTCAAACACTTTTATAAAGAATATCTCTTTGGATTTGAGACTTTAGTCTTTGCAACTTTACAGATCTTCTTTATGCACCAAGAGCTTGTAACACTCCAAAGAGAAAGGAAAAATTGAAATCGCATCATATGACCCCTTTAAATAAAAAACAAACAGGGGTTTGACTGACATTTGAGTCTTTTTGTCTTTGATTATGGCATTTCAAAATAATCCGAAATATAATTACATTTGGTGATTAGAGCTTTTCAATCATCAGATTTTCTCTCGTTTTGAAAAAAAAGCATGGCATCTACTAATAATGCAGACCTTTAGAGTGCCAGAAGAATGAGTCCGAAAACCCCAAAACAAGTCATTTTTAAACTTCCGATTCCATAGTTTTGAAGTCAGTAGGTTTTTTGAATGGGTTTTTGGTTAAATGCTTGAAATAAGGTCTTGTTAACATAAGCTCAAGATACTTTCATGTTTAATTTTGCTGTAACCAACAAAAGTTTAGAATTACAACCTAATAGTTGACTAATTGTTAGTTGAAGAGAAGAGGCATAGTTGACAAAAATGTTATTATTCGGCTATAAAAAAATCTGTGATGGACAGATTGTTAACTGCTGGTCCTTGAGGTAGGCTAATTGTTCATCGACCTCAAATATGGCTTATTATTGAAACATGTAAGTAGTAGCAACTTTACATGGCCGCTCGCTCTAACATTAACCTAGATAAAAACAAATACTCTCTGAAAAACAAAAACAAATACTTTCTGATTATGTAGGCTAATTGTATTAGTATGAATTGTATTGTATTAGTATTTTATAGTTATTCTCTCTGAAGGCATGTCACATTGCGGAGATGGCGAGTCAGCATCGTCAGCTTCCTCTTTGCAGCGGAAACTGACTCAGAAAACACTAGTTTATTAATAAATATTTAAAATAACTCCTTGCTATTTTTCCCAACACATAGTCAATACTTTGGCCGATGCTTTGCGACAAGCTTTACTGGCACGTTTAGTCGACTAGAAAAATCTTTAGTCGGGGGCAGCCCTACATTTAACCAAAAACTCATTAAAAAAAACCCACTGACTTCAGGACGATGGAAATGCAAATGCTAACTCATTTCCAGGCTTTGGCCGACAAAAACACATCATCTCTGCAGCACTCAATTAAAGTATTTTTTGTTTATGTTTCGCTGGTTGTCTTTGACTTACACTGACACCTAGTGCTGTGGATGTAGCATGATATAAGAAAGTTTCAGTTGCAGATATTATAAATACATGCACTATTAGCAGTCATTTATTCAACAAGAATAGATGTCCCCAAATAATGGCATTACCAAGCTAAAGTAAGCAGTATTTTGCTACTCATGTGATCGCAACATGTCTGCACCCACAAGGCAATCCTTTCTATGTAAAATAAAACAGCTTATGTAAGGCTAATTGATTTTTCACAAATATTTAGAAAAAGCATAATGATTGAAAAAATGACCTTTATAGATCCCAGGAGTCCTGTGACACCCTGACAAATTCCCTAGCAACTTTTAAATTGGCCTCTTAAAGTTGCCTTACCTCGATGAACACAAAAGTTTACGTTTTTATTGTAAACTCTGCATAAAAAGTGCAGCCAGCAATAATCTCTCAGCAAATAAGACTCAGTGGCCTATTTATACCTGTTATGACTCTGAAAAGATCTGCAAAAAAAAACACCGGCAGATTTTCTCACTGCCTTCTCCGAGCCCAAATGACTGTTTCATGAGCCTAATAGGAAATTATGGGTTATTACATTCTGCCGCTTGACACCCTGATTATAAAATAGCACAACACAAAGAACTGCAGGAGAGTGGGAGAGGAAAAAATGAGCCGGGGAAGAATGTACCACTTTATTTTGAAAAGAATCACATTCTCTAATTCATTACTCTGCCGAGAAGCAATATACACCTCATTACACTAAAATGAACGGAAAAAATAATTTTCCCGCCTTACATTTGCTCATGACTGCGACCTAATCCTCGGGGCCTCGGGGTAACCTACTCTACTCCCCCAATATCCACCCCCTGAAAAATCTCATCAGCCCTCATTTGCCTCTAATTCAGCTATTTGTTCAACTTTAACCATTCATCTGCCCCTCTCAGTCAACAGTGGATGAGACTATAGCGAAATGTATACCATGTTTTACGAGATTTACAGCAACTACATTCATCACCAAGGAGGAAGTCTTGAGAGTTTCTTGAGTGTTCAGCTGTTAAGATAAAGACTGGAAACTAGAAAACAATTCTACACCGGCCAGCTCTTAAGAGCCTCAATTCTCTCTTTTTAAACATCACAAAAGTGCCTTTTCCCCATAAAGCATGCAGTAACAACAATCTCTGAATTCCTGCAGGCCTTGTTGGAACAAATCATTACGTTAACACATTAAAACACAAGATCTATGGTCATGTTGCTCCAAAGGAGGACTTTTTGGCACCATTTTTTTTTTTTTTTTGGCAGAGTTGTGAAATTCTCCACGTTTACTAAGGGTCCAGCGAGAGATGACACATTCATTGGGTCTCTGATGACTGATGGAGCACTTCTTTTAATTTAAGTGTTTTTGTTCTTCAGTTACCAAGGCTTTTGGATTTTAAAGTTGTGTTTTAGGATTGTTCTGGCACTGTTCTCAACCTCAAAGAAAGGATGTGGGAGATAAGTTGATTCTGTCAAAGCAGTCTGTCACAAACAGAATGAATAATAAATATGTGTCTTTTTATTTTCAAAACCTTTTTATGTTATTATTTTCAGCCAATTTTTTATGGGCATTTGATAAGCACGGCTTTTTATTTTTGCTTTAATTTATTTATTTTTTTATGATTATTATTATTTTGGTTTAATAATCAATCCGGTTGTGGGGGAGAAAAAACAAAACAAAACAAAATTTTAAAAAACCATTGAAATTCTGCTTTGAAATCCTGTTCAGATTATTATTATTTTGGTTTAATAATCAATCCGGTTGTGGGGGAGAAACAACAAAACAAAACAAAATTTAAAAAAAACATTGAAATTCTGCTTTGAAATACTGTTCAGTTTGAGCTTGTCTGGATTAGTTATTACAAAGCTCATAAATCCAATTGGGAACAAAATGAAGTACAGCACATTATTACATTAAACTGTACATTCGACCACTGACATGGTACTTTCATGTCTCTACTATTGCCAAAGTGCCTGATAAGGAAAGACTGTTTACTCTGAGGCCATATTTGCAACACCTCTGTACATTTCAGGCATCTATTCCTGTTTACTTGAATGGGGAAATACTGAAATCTCAAAAACTGCTTGCCAAATTCACATTTCTTTTTACACTTTTAAAGTCAGCAATAAAATCTAACATGAACTGTCTCATAAATGTTGTTTCTAATACCAAATAGCATTAAACACATATATTTCAGGTGTAGGTATGTGCAATCCTAAAGGCTAATCTCTATTTCTATGGGAACCAGAGCCTCACATTTGCACTGACTTTACCAATTGCTTATTGGCTCTTTTTTATTTTGAAGGCAGGACATATTCTTCCCTATTGCGCACTGCTGTTTCTCTTAGAATAACTCATTTGCGCCATCTTGAGACTAGTAAAAAAATGGTCCCTAAGGACTTCAGTATTATTTTTATGGTTATGGATCATTAATTTTATGGTACATAAAACCTTTGATAGATGACTAAAGCTTCTGGAGTCCTAATTTGCATACGAATGCACTGTTCTATGCCATAATTAGTGTGAATAGTATGTTCATGTTAACACTAAAAATTTCAGCAAGAAGTAGTGCACTTTAAATACCCAGATTTATACTAAAAAATGAAATGTTGTGCCAACATGGCATAAGTTGTCCCTTCACTGCCATTTATAAATCCTCTCCCGATACCTTATGGGATAGTAAAGTGTCAATCGAATGCGCACTTCAAAGTCACAGTGGAAGTAGTAGGTCATCCAGGTACTTTTTGCCTACTGTTTTTGAATACTATGAATTCAGACATTCTGCTCTTTTGGAGTACTGTTTTTTTTTGTTTTTTTTGCATACTATATAGTAGAGAAGTATGCGATTTCGGATGGAGCGATAGTGTATGTAATTCAGAACACATCAAAAGAGCTGAATAAGACAGATATTTCGCCTCTATTGCTCTAAATATCTTAGTTATCTTGTCTATAGGATTATTATATTGTCTATAATATAATGTAATATATTAAGTATCAATATAACATAATAAAAGTATCTTATTAATGAATAATATAAGACAAAAAGACAAAGGTCACAAACTTTACAGTCTGTTTGGCACTATACCTATGCGGGTACATGATACCAAACACTGCACAGCTTTTGTTCCAGCATCTATGAGAAACAGCAGTAGTTCAATAGAGCCGCAGAATAAAAGCAGATCTTCAATCACCTGCTTGAATTGTACTGTTGAATGTAGTTCTGCTTTCTCTGAAGTGTCCGTCAACCTTATAGTGAACAGGGTCCAATAGATGTGTGTGTGTGTGTGTGTGTGTGTTTGTGTGCAGAGTGAAAATGTGTGTGTGTGTGTGTGTGTGTGTTTGCGGGGTTTTTAGTGAAGGATTATGCAAATGAAATTTGAGAGAAAAAATTCCTGTCCAAAAATGACTCGGGCGGAACGCTTGCTCAGGCGGGGAGCTCGACTAGCGTGTGTGACTGAGCCGCCAATGCCCACGCTTTCCCACAATCCAGCTTTGTTCACTGGGACGTCACCGTGAGGGTCTGTGCAGAGGAGGAAGAGCAAGAAAGAAAAGAAAAGGAACAAAGCACAGTAGATAACTATGGAAAGATACTGGTCCATCTTTCCATCTCATTTCTATCCGATTTACTGCCGCATAAAATACACCCTTTGGGAAAACGGAGCTCAACAGCTTGACTCAAGCATTTACAATAAAGAACAGTGTCATGATTTCCTGTCCATTAACTTTCTAAAGTTTCTGGTGAAGCTACAATCCAACAATCAGAGGCAATTATTAAAAGGTCAATTGGTCAATTAACTAACGGCTCAGGGGGGAAAACGAGCAGTTCCCCACAGCCCAGAGTGTGGACTGGTTGTTTGGAGTAGCATACTAACATACTATTCTTATTATTTCTGTATACACTGTAAATAACGACTTTGACTATTTGTTATTTGTTGTTAAGCATTAGACAAATGGGTTGTAATATGTATACTGTGCACAGTATGCACTTTTGAAAATGTGCAGTATACAGTAGTGCACACTACACAGAGTATGTGTATCCCACAATGCAAAGCACATGACCTTCCATTTCCAATGAGATGAATGAACCACAAGTAAATACAGTCATGATTTGTATCATCTCGATTCATTTAATTTGTGAAATACAATTGAATATAAATAAGGCTTATTTTGAAAATGAATCTGGACACACATGCAACATGACAAGATCAACAAATCAGCATACTACTGTTTTGATTTTTTTTTTTCCTGTGGAAAAAGATTTGTAGAAAAGCTTAGAATGTATACTGCTAAAATACTGAAGGTTTATTATCGCCATTATTAACACTTTATCTTAATTTAATCTTTATTGTATCCCTTTTAATAAATGACACCTTCAGGTTACCTTCTTTTTTTATAAATACTTCATGTTTTATGAAATATATTAATAAAATATTTATAACAAAAGAAGGAATTCATGCTGAACTATATATAACTTGTAATATAATATTAAAAATTAAATGTAAAATATTTACACAAATATAATCGTCATATGTTATATACAAATTATATATATGTGTGTGTGTGTGTGTGTGTCTAAAATATTTTATATAAAAGGAAACATTTTTAGGTAAATTTGTGTGTGTGTGTGTGTGTGTGTGTGTGTGTAAAATATTTAATATAAAAGGAAACATATTTAGGTAAATTTGTGTGTGTGTGTGTGTGTGTGTGTGTGTGTATGTGTGTGTGTGTGTGTGTGTGTGTGTAAAATATTTAATATAAAAGGAAACATATTTAGGTACTTGTGTGTGTGTGTGTGTGAAATATATACGGATATAAGGGTTTTTAAAAGGTTATGAAATCCAAAATGTGTGCATTCACTAAAATACATGAATAAATAAAACAATATTTCCATACAAGTGTGACCATATTTCTCATTATATCCCAACAGCTTCTCTTGCTGCCTGAATATTTAGGTTACATGATCAA